CTTGATTCTTCTAGTGTTTCTTAAAGATACATGGATTTTAACTCCCAGAATTATCCAGCCAGCAGGAGGAATGAAATCCACATATCTTCCGCACTGTTTCCAAGGTTGAGAAGGTCTGGATGGTTCTTGGATGAGACATTCCAAGTGCTATGAGGTAGACCAGGGAGGACCAACAACCACTTTTATAACATGCCAAGACAGACAGATGTATCTGTAAATCACTGGAACTCAAGCTGAAATCTTTTCTTTCCAATTGTTTATTTTAAAAAAATAAATAAATCATTGCACTTCATTTCTTGAACTTCATGGTTGAAACTATCTCTCTCCCTCCTGTGTGTCTATATAGTACACTCCTAGTAAAGAGTATAAAATGAGTATAAAAAGAGCCTTGGTAGCACAGTGGACTAAAGCACTGTTATTAACATCTGCCGCTTGCAATTACTGCAAGTTCAAATCTCACCAGGCTCAAGGTTGACTCAGCCTTCCATCCTTTCAAAGGTAGGTAAAATGAGGAACCAGATTGTGGAAGCAATAAGATGACTTTGTATAAATATACAAAAGTATTAAGGCTATTGCTTAACGCATTGTAAGCCGCCCTGAGTCTCCGGAGAAGGGCGGCATATAAATTAAAGCAAAAAATAATAATAATCCTATGAACATTTTAACATTACTCTACAACCACCACCACCCCTGCAATGTAATGTTCGAGTAAGGAAATATAAGATCTGTAAACATTGCAGCTTTTGTACTTATTGGTCACAGCAGAGTCATCAACAAGGAAGAAGGGGGAAGCACCTGGCCTTACATTTAAGTTCAGTGTAATTAAGCCTTTTAGGCTAAAAATCAGAGCTGGCCACTGGTCAAAGGAGTTTTAATTGATGGAAACAAACAGTAATTTTAGTACCAAGCTCTCATCCTTTAATGGTCTTCAAAGAAGTTGAGGGAGCTGTTTATGTGACTGAATCGTCCAAAAGTTACTTCTAATTAAAGGAAATAGTTGTTTTCTAGATTTGATTTTTCTTGGTTATAACAGAGTCTTGAAGTTGCCAAAATAAACAGTTAATGCCCTCCTCAAACTTAACATGCCCTATCAACCAGTTGGAGACTGCAGCCCTAACCATCATAAGCAGCCACACTGAATGGCAGACTTAAATATCCAGTTTGAGAGCAAATTTAAAAATCACTGGACGTTTGTGGTTGGCAACCAACTTCCAGTGAAGAGCAGGACATGAATACAATAGCATTCTCATGCCCTGTGCCTGTTTCGCTCCCAGAGAAATCTAAACTTAGAAGAGGGGAATGGAGGAGGAAGGTTGACTTCTGATTTGGAAGACAACATTAGTGAATCAAATACTGTACTTATCATCATAATCTATGACAGTTTGATCCTACAGGCTAAATGAAAGCAATAGGAAAAGCTTCTGGCAAGATAGTAGCAGTCAACTCAACAAAAGCCACCCTGCATCCTTTGCCTTGTATCTATTAAGGAGACCAGAATTAGAAAGGACTGGACAAATAATATGAGCTGCATATGCATAATATATTTAACCTGATTATAAAATTAATCCATTTTGGGGGTTTGCAAGAAGTACAGAATTATAAACTAACCAAACAAGCTGGGCTTGCATAATGTACCCCCAATTCTCTTGTTTGTTCCTCAGATAACTCCAATAAACTGCTTCTTTATAAAGTTTAGCGTAGAAATGTATTAATGATTTAAATTACATTAATTGCACAACATGGTCTTTGTAAAATCTCTTAAAATTAGACTAGACTAGAATAGAATTTTTTATTAGCCAAGTGTGATTGGACACACAAGGAATTTGTCTTGGTGCATATTCCCTCAGTGTACATAAAAGAAAAGATACGTTCATCAAGAATCATAAGGTACCACACTTAATGATAGTCATAGGGTACAAATAAACAATCAAATCATATTAGGAAACAGTCAATATAAATCTTAAGGATACAAGCAACAAGTTACAGTCATACAGTCATATGTGGAAGGAGATGGGTGATGGGAACAATGAGAAGATGAATAGTAGTGCAGATTAGTAAATAGTTTGACAGTGTTGAGGGAATTATTTATTTAGCAAAGTGATGGCATTTAGGAAAAAACTGTTCTTGTGTGTAGTTGTTCTGGTGTGCAGTGCTCTATAGTGTCGTTTTGAGGGTAAGAGTTGAAAAAGTTTATGTCCAGGATGTGAGGGGTCTGTAAATATTTTCCCAGCCCTCTTTTTGACTTTTGCAGTATACAGGTCCTCAATGGAAGGCAGGTTGGTAGCAATTGTATTTTCTGCTGTTCTAATATTCTGTAAAAAAATATTTTTAAAAAAAATATTTAAAAAAATATAAAAGTTTTTATTTAAAAAAAATTATGTAAAGAAAAATATTTTCTGTAAAACTTTTATACTGCTTTATCTAAATCTGCAGTAGGATAACAAAAAGATATGGTGTCCAAGAGTATAGTTTAAAGATTAATGGAATATGTTTTAAAATGCAACTTAGATTTGATTCCTAGTGGTTACCAATATATTATTTGGCAGCAATACTGAAGTGGTTTCCTTTGCCTCCTCCTGGAATTTTTTTTTCAGCTTCCCAATCTAATCCACAGCCAGGGAATTAGTTGTCTCCCATCCGAGTACTACCCAAGTCTGCCTCTGCTTAGATTGGCCCAAATGATTTATATATTTATTTCTATTTATTTATAAAATTTCTACAACACCCATTTCAGCAAGTGACTCTGGGTGGTTTACAACGTCATGATAGTATTAATTCTGTGTGCCCAGAAGACACACAAGACGGGAACATTTGGCAATTTGATTTTAATATATCTCACTAATAGCAAAAGCCCACACCATTAATCAATGTGTTCATCTTGATTTAAATATAGTGTTGCAATAATTTGCTTCAATTTGGAAATAATATTATTCCTTTGATATGTAAAACATACCAAGTTTGATGTTTAAATTTGATGCTCAAACTGTATTTGGAAAAGAATCATGTCTCAGGGTCATTCCTTGCAATTCCTTGCCTTCAAAAGATTTCTATGGCACTATAGCCAGCCACATACACTGAGCTATATAGATCAATGATTTAAGGTGAGCAAGTTATTTAGCTTCGTGTATTCCTAAGGATAGCCTTGTAGATGGATACATTTATATCAATGTGACCAAACTTATTCTATTCACAGGAATATACACTCCAAAGAAATAAGAGGAAGGAAGAGAGAAACTGTATTTCCCACCTCCTATTTCTATTTTGTTTTCATAAACCTATAAATTCAACATTTCTCAACATGCGTAACTAGATCAGGTTAAAACTACCTAAGGTTTTCTCCACACTGTGGTACATTTGGTTAGTTTGCCTTACCTTAGTTTTATTTTTTGTGCCTTGCATGTTACATAAATCCAACTCTTTAATTTAAGGGATGGCTACCAGCTTTGAGCTTCAGAAATCTGGACAACAGGATGACAGCAAAGAAAGTTTTTGAACGCTAATCCAGCCCTGTTTTATTTGTCAATGTATTGTGTGAACCCAGAAAATGGATTAAGTTAGCAGTCTAGGTGAGTATGTTATATGTACAGTCATAGATGCAAATTCACACATACAAAAACCCATCTGGAATAAGAATGAATGAGCTAGGTAGGAGAAAGTATTGGAAAGTTCCTGTATATATGCCTTTCTCAGGTTTGGAAGCTGAGACACGTTGCTGTATCAGAGAAAATTGGTAATTCTGGCTCAGGTGGAAATAGAGGAAACACAAAGATTTTCCAGTATTATTATTATTATTGTTATTGTTGTTGTTGTTGTTGTTATTATTATTATTATTATTATTATTATTATTATTATTATTATTGCATCCTATATTTTCTTCTGCCCATCTTTCTTAGTGATGATATCACCATTATCAACCTCTTGAAACAAGAGCATGTGTTGTTCTTCCTAATGAAGGGATGCCATAGGTGGTGAGCATCTGGGAATCGGTAACAGCCTCCTGGGACTCACGTTTATTAAAAGAGAGGCCAAAGTGTCCCTTAGCTCTTCATATCTGGAGGGCTTGCCAAGTTGCAAGATGGGGAGTGGGAAGGAAGGCAAGTACGCGGGGACGGTGTCGACTGGTGTCTATCACGGATCATAAGAAGAGCCTTGCCTTTTAAGAATAGAATAGAATTCTTTATTGGCCAAGTGTGATAGAATAGAATAGAATAGAATAGAATAGAATAGAATAGAATAGAATAGAATTCTTTATTGGCCAAGTGTGATTGAACACACAAGGAATTTGTCTTTGGTGCATATGCTCTCAGTGTACACAAAAAGAGAAGATACATTAGTCAAGAATCATAAGGTACAATACTTAAAGATAGTTATAGGGTACAAATAAGCAATCAGGAAACAATCAAAATCGATATAAATTGTAAGGATACAAGCAACAAAGCTACAGTCATACAGTCATAAGTGGGAGGAGATGAGTGATAGGAACGATGAGAAGACTAATAGTAATAGTAATAGTAATAGTAGCCTTAGTGAAAAGTTTGACAGCGTTGAGGGAATTATTTGTTTAGCAGAGTGATGGCGTTCCGGGGGGGGGGGCTGTTCTTGTGTCTAGTTCTCTATAGCGTCGTTTTATAGCGTCGTTTTCAGGGTAGAGACGGCCAGCACTCGGCGCTTGCTCAGAGGCACTGTTGTTTTGTGTGTGTGTTTTCTTACACCTATACTCGGAGCGAAGGGAAGGCGGCGGGCCGCCCGCTTGCTCTGCCCGCGCCTCTCTTTCGCCTTCCCGCGACCTCGCGTCTCACCCTCCGGCAAGAGGCGAGGGAGGGACGGAGGGCGCGCTCAAGGCGGGGCCGGCCACCTCCCAGACGGCACCGGAGGAAGCTCATAGAAGCTCATAAATAGAGCGAGGCCGCGGGAAAGGCGCTTGCTGGGGCGGCGGGGTGAGGCTGCGGGGGCCTCAGGGCGTGCGGTTGCGCGGTCGCGCGTAGAGGGGGTGGGGGGCGCCGGCTGGAGTCCCGCGTGCCTCGACGGCATGGCTTCGCTGCTGGGCTCCTTCGCGTGGGCGGAGAGGCTGGACTGCTCGGCTCTGGAGTTGTCCGACGGGGGCAGCGGGACCTCCGCCTCCGCGGTGCCCCGGACGGAGAAGGGAAACCCCGAAAGCCGCATCCGACGCCCCATGAACGCTTTCATGGTGTGGGCCAAAGACGAGAGGAAGCGCCTGGCCGTCCAAAACCCGGACCTGCACAACGCCGAGCTGAGCAAGATGCTGGGTGAGCTGAGAGCCCGCCCGAGTGAGCGGAGCGAGCGGGACTCGGGCGCCTTTTGCGCCCCTCCGGCTTTCCGAAGTCGCTCGCTGTGCCGTGCACCGCATGACCCCCGGCCGGGGTGTTTCGGTTGAGGGTTGGCCTGCGGGAAAACAAAATCACGGGTAGAACCAACCTTTCCGCATCCTCCGTGAGTTTGGGGAGCGGTGCGGCGCCTACTACAATTCTTCTCCTTGAAGTTACTGGGTGAAATCTGCTGCATTTCGCTCTCCCGTTGGAATAAATGTGGGAAGAGATTTATTTAAGAGGGAAGAAATTGGATCTAGGATATTTAAACTTAAGAGCCCCATTAGCTGAAATTCTCTGACATTAATTATTTGTAGCTGAAAAAGTTCTGAAGCAGCGGCTCTTTAAAAGGCGGCCTTTGAAAACTTAGTTTTTCTGTTCATTTCTTCTTGAGGATGTGTTTAGCATCTACATTTAAAAGATGCTAACTTTTCTAAAATGTCATTGTTCGTATTATTGCTGACATTGGTATTAAGTATTTGAATTGCCATCGAATTCACTGGGCAAAATTAATTTGCTTTATGGAAAGCAAATCAGTGTTGCAATTACATCTGATGCGCAAATTTAAAAAACAAATTCTCAGTGTGTTCAGAATCACTTGGGATGAATTTTGAAAAGTTATCTAACATGGTAATAAAGTAAAGATAGTATGAGTTTTACAGGCAAACACAGGGAAATTTATTTTTCCTATTTAAAAAAAAAAAGATATGCTACATTGCAATCATTTTTATCCAGGAGTTTTAAGATATAATTTGATTATATGTGGGTTTTTTTTTTTTTAAAAAAAATCTTAATCTTGATTTTTTTTTTTGGATGGTTTATTTGCCACACTAAGAACACTTCTAATCTGGAAAAAAATTAATAAAACAAATAATGTGAATCTTTCAACTATATTCTTTTGAATCTTTGTGGAGTGCATCTCCAAGTATTTGTTCAAGAATTAGGCAGCATTTCTAAATATTTTTTTTAACCTTTCAAGCAGCATTTTCTGTAAAAAGACATCAAAATTGAAAGTGCAAAAATATTTTGATAAAAAAAAGGATAAAATTATTTTTCAAAACCAACACAAAGTTATCAAATATAACTTTCTAACCACAAAGCAATTCAGTAACATCCTGGAATTGATTTAAATTTAGGGAGCAGGGATTTTTATCATTATGTTGTACTCCTATTTCAGTTTTAACACCTAGCTATAATGCATTCTAAACTACAACCTCATGCCCATTTACCAAGAAATAAATCTCACTAAATTCAGTAGGTCATCTTTCTGATCAGGCTTTTATAGGACTGTATCACAATGGTGAAATCCACTAGGATGCTAAATAGGAATAAACCTCCTTGAATTTACCAAGATGTTATCTGCAGTAGGGATTGTAGCAATAGAGAGCTGTATCTCCTGGCATTTCTAAAAGCTGCTTGGCTCATTCAAACACTTTTCATCCTTTTAAATGGAGATTTTACAGCAATTTCCAAAGGGGCATCACTATCTTAGGTTTATGCTACCTGAGTTTAACCATCTTCCCTTGGAAAAAAAACCTGATTGATACTAACAGGATTTCTTTTCCAGTTAGTATGTATAGGTTTGCGCAATGTGATGTGATGGTATGAATGCTTGAGGGACTTCTAAATTTTTAAACATTTTTTTATTGCAAAACATTCTAAAGATTATTTCTCAGTGTTAAGTGAGATACATTTCCTCCCCAGTGTAAGGAAGGTTAATTTTATCACATATCTATCTTTGTATATGTCATTTTTCTCTCTATGTGAAAAAGTCTTTCCTCTGGAGAGATAGGCGTTCAGTTCCTGTACAACTTTAGTTGCATAGTTTTGCCTTTTTTGTTGTTGACACATTTTTTTCAAGGCAATAACCTAGAGATGTAAACAGCACAGCATTGCAAAAGTGGTCGCACTAGACATCTGCAAAAAGGATCACTCTGTTGTTGTAGGTTTTGGTGCCATTCCAGAAGTCGCCCAGAGTCCCCTTATGGTGAGAAGGGCGGCAAATAGATTTAATAAATAACAAATAAATTCCTAATATTTCCCAAAGTAAAATTTGTGTTTTATTCCTCACAACTGCTGAATATCATAAATGTTCATATAGCAGTGTGACCCCAGTACTTTTCTTTGTAATCATTGACTATTCCATTTGTATTAGAGTACAGTACAGCGTTACAAAGCTTTAATTCAATATGTGGTATTTTATAATTAATACCATTGAATCGCATATCCACATAGTGACCTATTTCTTACTGGAGTTCTTGAACTTTGCTGCGGGTCTCATCCTCCTAAAAAAAATGGTCATGGATTAAAAATTCGTGTTCCACATATGATGACGTTCAGGTTATTCCTTTTGTAGAATATAGCAAAGTCTACCTCTAAAGGAAATAACTTCAATAATGTCATAAAATGCTGAGGTTTTTTTCCAGCTAAAATAAATAAGTTATAGCCAGAGATACTGCACTGAGGATAAATGATACATACCAGTCTTATCTGCATAAATTACCTAATTTGCATCCTTGAGCAGCAGATTCAAGATGAGTTAACTGTGTTAATATATAACAGCGAAGAAAAGATAACGTTTTTAGGTTTGTTTGTTTTTTAACTTTTTTCCTGATGCTTTTTTTGTCTCCCGAGGACAGGAGTAATTGTGTATTGTTGCTTTTGTTACATGAGTGGCTAAGACTTATTATATTTTGAATTGGTCAACAAAATGTGAAACTTAATTTTGCATGAGTGCTCTCCAAACTGGTATTTGAAATATAATTTCATGAGATGTTGAAAATCTCACATGTAAAGTTAGTTTAATTTTTCTAAGTTCAAATTGTATACTGCCTCTTATCTTGAAGGAAGCATTTAAGAATATAGATGGACTTAAGCAACAAATACTATCATTCAGTGTTAAGAGAGGGAAAAGCCTCTTTGTGGTTTTACATGCCACAAGTACATTAACGGTACAATCTTGTACATTCCCACTCAGAAACAAACCTTGTTTTATTTAGCTGGGCATTTCCCCAAATGAATGTTAATGAAACTTCAGTCTAACATATTAGAAACAAAAAAGCTGTTGGTTTCCAAAGCAGAGATGTACGTTTTTTCCCTTGCAAATTAAATTGGCTTTTATTGGCAAATTAACATACATTCTGTTGGTGTTCCATGTTGACTTGTGGGAAGAGGGAACAATTCAGATTCAAGATTGACAACCCCATTACATTTTTGTTATCGCAAAGTATTTATGTTACTATTTTAACCTTCAATTTTATAAAAGCATCGTAGGGAAGCCTTGGAAATGAAACTCCTGATTAATTTTTGATAATATATACACTTTCCCACCACAGCTTTTTTGATACAACTTTTATATAATACTAAAAAAATTTCATTTTAAAGTTTTGTTGCATATATTTAGCTCATAATTCCTTTGCTTTGAAGGGCTTTGCCTAACACGCTAAACATACTTGGTTGCTAGGAATATCTATCATTTAAATGTGAACTACATTTTCAAAGTTAAATTTTGTTTTGTAAACAAAAACATATGAAAAATTCCCAAATTTATATTGGGACTTGGTGTTACTTTTTAACTCACTGGAAACAAAAATTTCCTCATATTTCATGAAGATTATTACATGCTAGTAGGATTCCAGTGTTTATTTTCAATATTTTACTTTTCATACAATTATTCCGTCCTCAAGTAAAGATAAAGAATTATATTAACTTGCTACTTCTCTCATAAAAGATTTCAAATGTTGCCCAAAAATTGTATTGTCTTACTTTATATTTTAAAGTTTACAAGAAATATCCCATCCTCTTTTCCTCAAGCTTCAGGCCCTTCAGATATGTGGGGACTCCCCATAATTCTTAGCTAAGGCAGTGGAGGCGGGATAATTCTTTGTGTTGAAGTTCACACATCAGGGAAGTTGTCTAGATTTGGGAAAACTGGCCCAATGCAGCCAACTGACGGGCAGCTTCTGTGCATAGAAGATTAAAAAGACATCCAGTTTGTTGTTGACTAAAAAAATTCTTTAGCCTTAAATTTGGTGACGGCCGGTAGTTTAGATGGCTTTTTAAAAAAGGGATAGATTGTTATGGTGGGATAGGCGTTTTCAGGGCTGTTGCTGTTAATACTCAAATAGAAGATCCATGTTTAGAAGCAAGATACATGCATATTCTGCGTGGTGAGGGTATCCTGCACAGTGCTCTTTTATTTTGTGTTCTGGTTTCCCTGAAACATTAGATTAGCCAATGCGGAACATAAGTCTTGAGACTTTTTTGAAGTCCAGTAAGGTTTTCATATGCTTTCAGAATCCCATGAGCTGGTATTTTTGTTACCATTTATGCCACAAATTTCATAAGCAGGATGTACAATCTTTGCTTTATTTCTGCAACATTCCAGTGAAATAGGATTGCTGTCTTGTAACCACAAGAAATAAAACTGCCCATGGCTGATACTTCATTCTTTAAATAGGAAATGACAATCTGTAGCCTGCTGGATCCCATACAGCCCTTTCTGATCGTAACTTCAGAAAACAATGTTTTCCCCACACAAGCTAGAAAACAGAGTAAAACTATCATAACTAAAGTAAGTTTTTCATGGCTGTAAAATTATTTGGGGTTATCTTTTTTAAGTGAGTAGATTTGCTTACTCTTGTGGTTCACAAATAACTTACCTATGCTATAGTGTTTAAAAATATGAATTAGATACAAAAATCAACCAGGACAGTAAAAACTGAGCAGAATAACTAAAAATAAATAAATCCAACAAGTAAGGTTTGTAAAATTTAAAAGTCTAGGATTTAAAGGACAAGCTAGTGCTAGACAGGGTAATTATGTCTGTTGCTAAATGTGTTGTCTTGAACATTTCTAATTTAAGAGCTGCTGTTCTGTAAACTGCTCATTTATTTTGGTAAGGACCAAAGGATCTCTGGCATTGATTTTATTCTTTGGGCAATCTTACGTGAAATTAACCTGGAGTCTTGGATCAAGGAAGACCATTACTTTTACCACCTGATTTTGTTTAGGGGAAAATCACTGGCTCACCAGGAAACATTGGAACAGTGTCTCACTTGTTCCAATACTTTCCACGTGTTTTGCAAGATAAATGGCAAATGCAAAGTGGTGTGCACCACTTTTTCTGTCTCAAGGGATGAAGAAAGTGAGCCTGTATGAAAACACATGAGGAAATAAGAGCAAGGCTCAATTTGGTATGATGCGGTGGAGAGTTCTTTTATGTAAAGGTCCATTTCCTGTATTTTTTATTTACTTAAATTTATTAGCCACCCAACTCCAAAAGAGCCTGCGTTAATTTTACAAAGGGAACAATTTTCCCACCATTCCCTGGAAGTCAAAATATTAGCATTTGCTATATGTATGGTGTTTTGCAGAACAACAAAATATGTTGGTTTTGTGATTGAATACATGTTCCTATGTCTGAAATGAAGAGGTGTAGTGGACAGCAGCAAATAAATGTCAGTTTAATTCACCAATGGATGGGTTGGGGCTTAATTCATCCTTCCCAATATAAAAGGAAACTTCTCTTTTTCCTTACAGGCAAGTCTTGGAAGTCTTTAACCCCGTCCCAGAAAAGACCTTATGTTGAAGAGGCGGAAAGGCTGAGGGTTCAACACATGCAAGACTACCCCAACTACAAATACCGTCCCAGAAGAAAGAAGCAGGTCAAGCGGATCTGCAAGCGGGTGGAGCCAGGCTTCCTGCTGGGTAGCCTCTCCAGGGACCAAGACCACATGCCTGATAAGAGGGTGTGCAGCCGAGCAGTGGGTGAGAAAGATGAATACTCAACCGCCTCAGTAATGCCAAACCTCAGGAGATACCAGGAGGTCCAGAGCAGTAACACAGGTACTCCGATGGACAGGTATCCATATGGGCTGCCTACTCCTCCTGAGATGTCACCCTTGGATGTGATAGATCCTGAGCAGAGTTTCTTCTCCTCCCCTTGTCCTGAAGACCCTCGCCGTCCCCGTATGTCTGGAGACACCTACTCTCTAGAATATGCCACCAGCCCTCTCCAGTGCAACCACTCTCTAGGTCACATGCCAGTCTCTCAATCAACCTCCACGATGCACTCTGCTTCCTCCAGTTGCCCAGCACCTCCCACAGGAAATTATTACTCCCCAGCTTTTCCTCCTAATCTCCAAGTCCCCAGCCTCCACAACCATCTTGGCCAGCTCTCACCTCCCCCGGAGCATCAGAACTTTGATAGCCTGGATCAATTGAGCCAAGCCGACCTTCTAGAGGAGATGGACCGCAATGAGTTTGATCAGTATCTCAGTGTCCCTGGACATCCAGAGCCTAGTGGGCTCACCATCAACGGACATGTCCAGGTCTCTCAGACAGCAAGCAGCTCATCAGAAACCAGCCTAATTTCTGTCCTTGCAGATGCAACAGCTACATATTACAATAATTACAGCATTTCTTAGATCAGAGAATGAGATTTGTCCAATGGACCAGTTTGCTGGACAGAGGGTTTCCTTTTATCCGGGTTTCCCACTCTGAACTGAAATAACTTTGGGGTTCACTTTCTAGATAATTACTCCACTATTGAGCCTGTCTTCAGAAGTGTTTTTGTATCCCAATTAAAAGGATACATCTTCAGTGATGCATCAAGGCACCTTAGTATATTGACTTAGATTAAAGAATCCTTGTTCTTTCATCAGACTGAGGGCCCAGACAGAGCTGGTATAGCATAATAATACTTACAAAACAGGTCTACCTACAGAGGAATGACATCAGGAAATATACATGACCACTTATGAAGTTTTTCAACCAAAGATGCCCTTGAATGCATTCCCTAGAGAAACCATTGCTAAGCAGACTCAGATGTTTAGCTGTGTGTGTGTGTACACATTCAATTTGTTATGCAGGATGTCTTCTGAAGTGTTTTGCTCTTTGCACAATTCCCATTTGTTTCCATGGGCTGGCCTAGGAGATTTTTCCCTGCTGAAACAGAATATGTAACAATGTCAAAAGTGCTATCATAGAAGCATCATTATCCTTGTGGATTGGGCCACATAATATCTCCTCTTCCTGTTGTCTCTAGCCAAAGAAATTTGTATCTTAAAATCAGTAAAATATGCCCTAATAAGGGTAGTCAAATGAATATATAGCTCTTTAAAAGAGTCCCTCTCCTATCAACTCCTACAACTTCAAAATTCTACAAGGGCCTCATGCTGCAAACCACCTAGGTCCTATCGTCTCTTTCAGTTTGGCACATGTTGACCAACTGAGAATTGGCTCTAGCAGTAGGGCAAAATGGGGCAAAACAAGGTGGGATGTCATCATAATCAGTGGTAAATGGGGCTATATAATCTCATCACAAAATATTGGTCAGAGGAATTGCATGTGGCTTTGAACAACACTTTGCTAATTCTCATTGTAGTGTCTTAAAACACCCTGTATTTACAGTATTGCAATTTTTAGGAAGGGTCGAGCAGTCACAATGTATGTTAGTTTTCTGTCCTTTGAAAAGAAAAAAGCGGCCACAATTTGGCTGTTGCCCTTTGCTTCTTTCAGGGTCTTCTCTTTTCTCCTTGCCTGTGGAAGTGGTGTTGTATGTTGGGAACAACCAAGAGAGAAGCATCAGGTGCAAATATGAGCATTTGAGAATGCATTTCAAGTGTCAAAATAAGTGAAGTTCACCTCAGTAAAATTTTAATTTTAGTGAGAAGCGTACAAATCATTTCAAGATCAGAACTGAACATTTCAGGGTGAGGATGGTTCACTTGTTTTATATACCTTTAATTCTAATCTAAATGGATCAGGGGAATTTGAGGAAAAATAGGAGTCAGGCATCTTCCATAACAAGCTGCTTTCCAGATAAGTTAGCTGACAGCCATCGTCACCCAAGCTAGTTACATATAAGGGCTAATAGCACATTTGCTATTGTGCTTTGGACTCCCTATGATCTAAACTGTCAACAAAGAATGTCAAAGAGATAGGTAACCTAGATTAGGATAATTATTAGAAATGCCTTTCTTAATACCCCTGCTTACATCTACTTCATCCCCTCCCAGAAGCTGCTTTTGAGTTTAATAGTCAATGTAGAGTATTCTTTTCTGGGAGTTTTTTTTTTTTTTATGTGTGTGTGTGTGCTTCTTATAAACGTATGAACAATCTATAATTTAGGAAAAACTGATTCCCTTCTCATCCCCTAATGGTTATTTTATAAATGGTGAGAGATATACACTGTGGAAGGTATTATTGATCCCAAGATTTATTTTTGGCTTCAGAGAAGTATAACAGCCTGTACAGTATTTCTAAAAATGCAGTTATTTTAAGTAACCTATCTTGATGACATGGTATCTTTAAATGCATGTGGGAAAACACTATCCCTTAACACTACTTTTCTATGTGATGGCTTCCAAGGTACTTGACTTCTGGGAGATGTTGCCTTATGAATGTATATTTGATATACATCCTTTGCCAAAGGCAGTAACATATCTGCTTCCTTTTATATTTAAACATACTTAGAATTCCCTTTTAAACCTGCTAAATTCTTCCGTGTCAAAATTAATGAACAAGTCTTTTTCCATTAAAAAAAGGGTTCTTACTAAAGCAGCCCATCCTCATCCAAAGTATTTCTAAGACAAATTAAAATCAATTTCAGCCCTTGCATTCTGTTTTTCATTTAATCCAAATAATATGTTTTTGAACTGTGAGGCGCCCAGAGTCATTTTTGCTGAGATATGAGGCTATAGAAATAAAATAAATAAATAATCCAAAATGCCTTGCTTCTGCATGATATACCCAGTGAAGAGTGCAAAGTGAAGCTTCAATAAGATCATAAACACAGTTGGGTTTCTTTAGTGACAGTAGTTGCTTAACAATCAAATTGCTGCTCCCTGTTTTGATAACTAAATGAAAACTACCTATATTCAATTGAAGATTTTCCTGTAATTTAGGATTATTGTTTTAAATCTTATAACTCCTTGATGTACTTGAAAAACATTTTCCCGTGCGCTCAGATATCTGCTTCCTCCATTTTTTTGCCCTTTTGGCCAGTATTGATTAAATTGTTACATGACAAATAGTTGTCTGATCTGCTGTGCTAGGCTCTGGTCCTGCTTGGCAAACTGCAGACTAGTGCCCGTTGCTGCACATTCTGGATTTGTCAAAAAACAACAACAACAAAAATATCAGGTTTCTTGCTCTTCTCTGGAGCTCAGTTCTCTAGCAGGAAACCCAGACTCATTAGCAAGAAGTTCATTTGAGTGATGGCTGTTTCAGCCAATTCCTGCTTGTAAAGTGAGCCTGCATATACCTTATATTCCTCAAAGTGTGCTTTAAGCTGTCTATATCAGGGATTCAGTGAAAATTCAAATGGATCATTCATTTACGTCTCTAAGAGAAACTCCATATAAAGTGTATAGATTTTGTATAGTAAATCCATATATTTTGCCATTTTGGAAAATGGATTGTACTTAGTGATCCAGTAACTGTTTCCATTGTTGCAATCTCATTGACCTTAATAGGATTATGCTAAAATGTAAATGTCTATCTATTAAAACTTGGGCAGATGACTTGTCAATGATTACGCTATCTAATGTGGCAAATTGGAATGAATGCTGTACTACTGAAATAAAATGTACCTATCATCAGTTTGGTAGGTAAATAATTATGACAGAAAGATTTTGGTGATTAATCTCAAAGACTGTCTATAGTTATTCAGTGTGAAAGGGAAAGATTGTAGATTGTTCATAGGCTTTTTTACAAGGAGCCAACCTGAGGACATTCTTAAACTCCAATTAAGTCTTGAAGCACCAGAATTGTTATATGAACTTAATTTAGAATAGAATAGAATAGAATAGAATAGAATAGAATAGAATAGAATAGAATAGAATAGAATAGAATAGAATGAATAGAAAGAATAGAAGAAATAGAATAGAATAGAATAGAATAGAATAGAATAGAATAGAATAGAATAGAATAGAATAGAATAATAACAGAGTTGGAAGGGACCTTGGATGTCTTCTAGTCCAACCCCCTGCTTAGGCTGGAAACCTTACACCACTTCAGACAAATGGTTATCCAACATCATCTTAAAAACTTCCAGTGATGGAGCATTCACAACTTCTGGAGGCAAGTTGTTCCATTGATTAATTGTTCTAATTGTCAGGAAATTTCTCCTTAGTTCTAAGTTGCTTCTCTCCTTGATTAGTTTCCACCCATTGCTTCTTGTCCTACCCTCAGGTGCTTTGGAGAATAGCTTGACTCCCTCTTCTTTGTGGCAGCCCCTGAGCTATCGGAACACTGCTATCATGTCACCCCTAGTCCTTCTTTGCATTAAACTAGACATACCCAGTTCCTGCAATTCATTTAACACCAAGGCCTCTCCCATCTTCTCATTTTTTAAAAACTTTGTTCTCCCACTTCTATCAGCCAACTTCATCTTCACAACTGGCAAAAGATCTGGGGAGAGTTTTGTTGAAAAGGGTTTTGTATTAGTAATGCTCCATTTTCATCAAATCATTCTTGAGGAAAAAAAAATATACCTTTGCATTTAAAAGTAAAAATTATCCTCTTTTCTGTGTCTTATTTTGCCTGGAATGGCACTGTATACATGTATGTTTTAGAGATTATCCCCTTCCTCACCATGCATTTTTATTGGTAGAACTTCCTTACATTGATGGAAATCGACTGCTTCTGTGTTAATCAGTTATTTAACAGTTTAATGGTAATGTAGTGATTAATTAGCTAGTTTATATCATTCTGCTTTTCTAATTTTGTTCCTCAAATGTGTGGTTTAATCTACAAATAATGTTTTTATATATATTAAAGAATAAATGAATTAAACATGAGTTGTTAAGAAATTATTTTGTGTGTTACTCTGTGCTCTTGATAATTTCAACTAATATATTTAAATAATTCTATGTAAAGGTAGTTAATCTGTTTATATACAGTACATGGAGGCAGTAGTATAAGGGAGGAACTCCATCTATGATAATTTCTTTAGTATTTTCATCCAGATTTCAATATCTTTTATTAAAACTAATTTCTTTGATAACATAATCAAAGTTTCATAATCTGCAATTGATGTAAACTTTATAAAAGATAACTCCAATGAATCTGGTGCCAGGTACAAGATATACAACACCTAGAATTTCAGTGTGAAATTCAGTGTGAAAGCATGATGCATAGAATAGGGCAAGATTTTGTTCATAAATGTATAATCAGTGTTGGAAAACAGCTGCTGGGGATTGGAGATTTATTTGATCATACTCTTTAAGTGGTCCTAAATAGACCTGACTGAATTGTTCCTCAACCCTCAATTCATTTAAGTGAATTCTTGTGATTCCTCATTTTTGTTTATTTGAGCTCCTTATAGATTCATATTGGAAGATGTACTGGAAAGCTCTGTATATTTCCCACATAATATATTTAATGAGTTCCCTAGATATCGGGGATGCTTTCCCCTGAATCCAGCATTTCAATTTTACTAGTGGCAGCTCTGCATTTAAAGAATTCATGCTTCAGAGAATTCAAGGTCTCAAAATTCTCACCTAAATACTAGAAAAAAAGAGGTGCATCTATCAGCCTTATAAGAAGGCCCAGACTAAAAAACCAGGCCATATGGTCTAAAGCTATTTATTAGAAAAGCTATAGTAAGAGAATCTTGCAAATCTAAATGCGTTTCCCTCCTCTGTCACTTTACCTTCATGTGGATTAGGAATTGTCTCGGGTTTTCTTTAAGTTTATTTCTTGCAGTGGGATCAAGCTTTGCTTGTCTGATCATTGCCATGACAACAGATCTTCCTGCTGTATTCCAAGGCCATTTTCTGTCCCCTCTATGGCATCTTGCCAGAATTCTAGAACTCTAATCTTGAAGAAAACTTTCTTTTTGGAATGATGGAATTTGAGGATATCGCCAGAGCACGCCTTAGTATCTCGTTTGCAGCCTTTGAAGCATGCTGAGGTTGTGCTACTAAACGGAGACATCTGCAGGGAGAAAGTTAAAAAAGTCAAGAAGGCCATGGCTATATGATTGAAGTTGCATCTCTTTTTATCATATACATGCAATGGCCATAATAAAGAGGTGGACCCTTATATCTTGACTTTTAATAACTCCCAGTCCCATAGATGGTACAAAATTGTACTACTGATTTTAGCAGTATGGTTTTCAAGTAAAAGAAAGGACATAAGAATGGAAGGGCCTTGGTGAGATGAAATTCTTCCAATATTTTCCCTTTAAAGCTCTCCCTCTGCAAGTTCCTTAAAGATATTGGACAGGTTTGGTCTCCTTCCTTCCATTGAGGCACCTGCATCCTTAAAAGATTTCCCATAGCCTCCCTTCTGGTCAGAAGAATGAATTGAAGCTCCTATACTGAAAAGTATTTCTCTGCTGTATTATTATAGCCTTCCTGACAGGTAACTACACTAAGTTTCTTCTTTTTTTTAAAGTACAAATTCCAAGGAGTAGGCATGCTAACATTTTGTGGACAATCTTGAGCAATGAGAATGAGTTTTCTTCTTGCACAATAGAAAGACACTTGACATGGCCATATAAAACAGAAAACATGGAGCTCCCAACCCCACATTTTGCAATTCCCAAATAATGGGCTACAGCTGATATCCTTGGTATCAGTTCTGTCCATGTGACGTCTCATGTAATCCATGGGTAAGTAAAATGGGAAAGCTAATGCAGCTTGGATTTGTATGGTATTTTAATACAATAGGATGAACAGAACGGGGCTTTTCAAACTGTTCCATAGAACCCTAGAGTCTGAAAGAACTTGAACAGAGCTTTAGGAACTGTTGATGGCCTCTTATCTAAGTAATAACCAGTTTTTCACTTTGCATAGCTTTTTTGAGATCACCCAGTAAATAAATACTCTAAAAGTATTTGTTAACTTTAATAAAAATTATAAAGCTGATTAAACTTAGGAAATGAATAAAAACAACCCTCCTGAAAAATGTAATGAAAAATGAAAATGTTTTCAGTACCACATTTAAAAAACAAAATGAGAAAATGGATCCTGTCCAGTGATAAGTGACCAGCCTGGTGAAGAGAACTGGAAATTAATCTGGGGAGACATTACAGCAATTACAAAATACATGCAGCACAGTCATTCAACACAAAAGACAGGTTTTTGATCATTCTGGGGGTTAACACTAGCATAAGTGATTGAAAACAGCAAAGAATCCATCTTTGGTGAAACATTAATAAAATGTTACTGATGTGTGACAATGACTTACAAGCCACTTGTAAGTCAAAACTAATGATGGGAGAATTCATTACCAATTTCCCATATTTGGTTGGTTCTTAGGTTTAAGAATCTTCTAGACTAGTGTTTCTCAACCTTGGCAACTTTAAGGTGTGTGGACTTCAACTTTTGAGTTGAGTTGCCAAAGTTGCCAAAGTTGAGGAACACTGGTCTAGATGTAGTGGATGAGCTAGATAGTATTGTGACTATTCCAATACCAAGCTTGAGAAATGTGAAAACAGTCTAGAGACAGCACAATAAAAAAGGCCAAATTTGCAGACCAATCCAGAACCCTGACTATTTTTCTACTTAACGTGATATTGCTGTTTATGGTGAAAGGAGGTCTCCGGGTGTGCATGCATGCACCTTTCACATTCACAATCAGAAAAGAGAAAGAAAAGTTCTTTGGCACATTTTATAAACATGACTTGTGATATCATGAAGCAAGCAGGGCAGCAGGGTGACAAATACTATTTCAGTAAACAACATCTGAAAATACCCTTTTTTCATATATGCACACATACATACATCAGGCATAGCATACATCATCACCTCACCCTTTCTGAATAGCCATTGGAATCATGCCAATGTGTGCTGTGTTTGTGACCCAGGACAATTTTCCATGAATCTGAAGAAACAGGAGCTGCGTGTTTCTCCCACTCCTTGATCCCCAACTTCAAGATTTAAAGAGTTAGAAATTTGTCAACAGAGAAATAAAACACAGTGGATATTCTTTTATATTTCTACAGCTTTGAAGGATTTGACAAAAAGTTTTGTTCACATAAAGACTTTAGATTTTAGCTTCAAATGAGCTAAATCCTTGCAAAGTTTGTTAATGAGTTGTACTGTCTTGAAAAATTCAAGAGAGAGAGAGAGAGGGAGGGAGGGAAGGAGAGATTGATTGATCAGTGGTCTTTGCTTCCCAGTACAACTATCAACAGACTGGCCTTTGGTCAGATTTTCCAGTAAAGGAACATAGACAGTATTTGTCTTCTGACAGCCTCCTGGGTGTTGAGGAAGAGAGAGAAAGAAAGTAAAAGAGCCTTGATAGTACAGTGGTCTACACACCCTGTTATTAACACAGCTGCCTGCAATTTACTGCTGGTTCGAATCTCTCCAAGGCTCAAGGTTGACTCAGCCTTCCATCCTTTCTAAGGTAGGTGAAATGAGGACCCAGTTTGTGGGGGCAATAAGCTGACTTTGTATAAAATATACAAAAGTATGAAGGCTATTGCTTAACGCATTGTAAGCCGCCCTGAGTCTCCGGAGAAGGGCAGCATATAAATCAAATTTTAAAAAAAAGGCATCAGGGAGAAAGGGAAAACTTTGGGGAAAACGGTGGTGTGACAGAGAAGGTGAGAGAAAGGGGAGCTAGCATGTATTTCTCAACCAATTACCCCTGAAGGAATATGAATGCAGATCTTGACAGACCGAGAGATCTCTCTGAGTGGGGTTACTGATTTCTGTGCTGTGATGGCAGAAAATGGATGATAGGTTCTTTCTCCCTTTGCTCCCAAAATTCAAAGCAGGGATCAAGAAATACTTTAGGATCAGGATCATAATGTTGGACTAAGATAAAACCTCCTTTTTCCTAAGTAACACACTTTATCCTTGAATTTGTCCCTTCCTTCAGAGAAAGTGAAAATATTACTTTGACTTGGAAAAGGACATTAGGAAAAAGTGTCACATATAACACACTCCGTGACACACTCCACTGATGGCAGCTTTTAAAATCTATTAAACTCTAGGAAATTCTAAACGCCTTTCGTTTAGTCTGACCCTTCCCACTCAATTTAACTTTGGCTGCTGCTAAAACAAAAACAGTTACTGCCTTCAATGGGCTTGCTTTAAATGATAAATGTTTGGAAATCCTGAGTGGAGATTGATGATAATGAGGAAGAGGAGGAGGAGGAAGGTGGGCTTTGTACTGTGCCGTTCAGAGAGGTTTTTTTCTTCTTAGTACCCAGCGGTGGAAGGCTGTCCTGTATCACCTCACATTCCAACATTACGAATTCTGCTGCTTTCTCAGGCAGAAAAAAATGTTCTCCCACTCTGATCTGTTAGAGGAGGAAAAAGATTCATTTTCCCAGAGCTGTAGAGGGAGGCTCCTGCTGTGTGCAAAGGAGAAGGAGTAAGACACGCAACTTTGTCTTTTCCTGCCAAATCATGCCATTGGAGGTGGCTTTAGGCTGCTGAGACTTAGGAGAGGATGTGTCCAGCTCTGTTTCCTGACTGATAACAGTAGCCGGCCCCTCCAACCGGATGTTATGCGTCCTGGGGCTACCTTTATATTTAAGCAAAGGGATGAGGAAAAATCACGACTTGTTTATACTTCAAGAAAAATAACGTCGCTTTCTTGCTCTCTGTGAACACATATAGATGGCTCCCTGAAAGAATAACATGACGAAAATACAATGTCCCGCATCCCATAGCAGACCTCGTATTTGAGTGGTGGGGGTCTAGAATACCCAATATAGATTGCAGCCTTTTTAAAAAAAAATAAATAATCAGACACCCATGCCTCATTTCCTTTCACTTGCTTCTTCACTTTGATGGAAGGGTATCTAAGACAGAACTCATCCCTGAAATAACTTTCTATCAGATCAAACTTTATGTGTATAGACAACATTTTACGGTTCAATCCTGCCTTTTATCAGAAAAGAAGCCAAGGATGAAGACAATATATACAAAGCAAGAGTATAAAAACCAGCTTTTAAGATTATTACCACCACTAGTATAAAAAGGCAACCTTCAGGTGCATGTTCCTTAAAAGTAGTTTACCAACACTGAAATTAGAACTCTCCAACATGTCAAAAGGCATTTTGCTGCTTGAGACAGACAAAAACGCAGTGCTCTTTATTCCACAAACACAAGGTGATTGAATCTTACTTTAATTTCGGCAGCAGGACAGTACTCTTCACTATACTATATTAAATGTATTTTTATTTCAAAGTTATAGACAAATAACAATATTCATACATCTATTAATTTGTAAACTTTAATTAGATAAAATCTAATCTAATTTAAATCCAATTAAAAGTATGTTAATTATATTAATTAAACTGAATTAATAAGATTGCTCTTCATGGGCTGAATAACTTCTATTACATTGAGGATTAGTTTGTTGACAAGTTTTAGAACATTCTGGGGGCTCATACATGCCGCCTATAGTGGCATTATAGCCTTCCACTTTTGAAAGACTATGTTAAGTACTGCCTTAAGGATTTATTTACCAAAGGCGCTAAGAGATTCCAGGTTCTGCAGTCTCATTTTGTACATTTAGAATACAGGGATTAAATAGAAATAAACTAGGGAAGACTGGTATGAAGCATGCCATTGTAAAGAACTGTCCTCTTGTAAAATAAGCTGTTAATTTTCCCAGAGGAAAATGCTTCCTTCTGAATATGTCTATATCTATGACAATGCTCTCTAAATCACAGAGGGTACTTTTAATTGGCAGCACAAGCATAGAGTAATTTTGATGAAGCCATTTTGTTTTCATGTAGTCTCAAGACTAGGATGTCTTTCATCTCAGATATATTCACATTTTGTCCTCTTCCCACCCATGCCCTTTCCTTTAATTTACAGTAATTTCTAGGGGTTTATCATGCTGCAACAAATTTTGGAGAGCACTGAAGCAACGAAGACATTAGTCCTGTTATTATAGTCTCTTTCAGGAAGGAAATTCCATTATTTGCTTAGATGATGGGTATGGCCCCCAAATAATACTTGACCTTCCCTTAAGGCCCTAGAGTGTCTGTGTATTAGCCTAAACTGAAGACAATTGAGAAACCTAAAAGCTATTGGAGGGTGGAACCCTGAAACTGAACTGCATTCCTATTTAATTTGTTGATGAAAGATCAAAACCAAGAGATCCCCAAAGAGAAAGTATCTGGCAGGAGAATAGGGGCAAATGGTATCTTGACAGCCATTGCTTTGACTTAAAGTATCCAAATTTAAAAATAAATACAAATTATCCAATTCCCACCAATTGCATATTTATCTGAATTTTAAAATGATGCTTGAATGTTTAGGATTACAGTGCATAGAACCATTGACCTGCAGGCAACTAAACATGCATGTACTGCTGGCTATAAGAATTCTGGCATGTGGCACAACTTCAATCAATTTCCCCAGCCAACATGTGGCACTATTCATGCAAAAGCTGAAAGAAAAAAACTTCAGAAGCACAGAACAGGTCACTGGATTACACTGTTAAGTAATGCTTGCTGATTCTCACATTCAAACACGAATGTTAGTTTGAATTTATTTGCCTATTTCTATCCTCTGTAGGTAAAAATATTCAAATTTTATTCTCCTAAAATGGCAATCTATTTTAACATTTTAAGTTATTTAAACTAAGGGAAATAGAAGTTTCACATAATGGGTGTATGATGTGTCTCGATCTATTCCCATAGCAAATTGAATATGTTAATGCAAGGCTATGAAAGAATCCTTCCTTTTAAAACGCAGACATCTGAACCCTACCTCCAGCCTAAAGTAGTATCCGTCTGGAGAATCAGCTTGAAAGGCAAAATACTTAGAATGCCTGGGATAAAAAAAGTACAATTATAAGGAGATGTATGGCTTGCTTCCTCATTGAAGGATGCACAATAAGAGAACCCCAAAGCAATCTTCATTTCTTTTTCTTCTTTTGGTCCTTCTCCATTTTGTCTTCGTTTTCTGAAGAGTTCTCCTGTGTCTTCTTTGGAGGTTTGCTTGACTTTTTTCCTCGCAAGTCAGGACAGAACGGAGGTGGGTATGGAGCAGGTGAATTGACCATCAAGGCCTTTTTCTGAAGCTTTAGTTCCAACATTTCAAAGGTAGTCTGGATCTCATGTTGAATAATACGATGCAGGTTCTGGATCTGTGTTTTAATTGCTTCATTGACTAAAGATATTAGTGTCTGGAAGACAAAATTAATATATCTGATGTTTCTGATATATTAAACAATTAATATGGTTGGCAATTGATTGATTGATTGGTTTAACAAGATTATAATATGCTTCAATCCAAACAGATGTGAATGTGTTGAATTTACCTGGTGATCATCTAAAGAATCGCTTGAGGGTCTCCACTGAATGGTGAATAACACATAGAAAAACACAGTGCAAGAATAGTATAAAAATAATGTAAACATAAAAATACCTACTACAATTAGTATTACCTTTGAGGAAATTTATAGTTATTTGGGGCATATTGGAAGGCTGTTTTTAACCATTTAGTCATATCCGACCCTTGGTGAATTTATAGGAAAATGCTCTCGATGCTACCTTGTCAAGCACAGCTTCTTTCAATTGTATTAATTTGATTTGATTGCAGAAAGCAAGGTCACTTTAATCAATATTGACCTCCATGAGAGAGCGGTCCAGATAATATAGATTACCACAGAATGCCTAACATTTCCTCCATACTATGTGTAGTGCCCATTATGAGGAATGGGGACTCTCAACAGATTCTCTTTAGATCGCAGGGGTGGTATTCACTTACCTTCGCTACCGGTTCGCAAATGTGAGCAAGCGCGTACGAACCTTCTGCGCATGCGCAGAGCATAAAAAATGGGACGTGATGATGTCCAGGCGGGTGGGCAGAGCCCCCCGCAGCTGCTGCTACCGGTTCACTCAAACTGGATAGAACCGACTGAATACCACCACTGGATCAGGGGTGTCAAACTCACGTCATCACGTGACCGATCGCAACTTTTTTCCTCTTTACTAAACCAGGTGTGGGTGTGGCCAGCGCATGACGCATCTGGCCCATGGGCCATGAGTTTGACAGCCTTGCTTTAGATGGTCAGACTGGTCAAGCAAAATTAATTCTGGCAAAATATTGCCGAATATATGCTGGTGCTATATCCCACAAGGCATTTTTGGGGAGACTTGAATATGAAAACATTTGAGAACGCTTACAATTTATAATGTCTTGCTAAATCATTAGAATCTTATTGGTCCTTTGATTAGATAAACAATATCTCCTGATTGCTTAGAACGATGGACTTCTAAACAAGTTACTTGCATACCCTCATAATTCAGCAACTGGTAAATACTGGTAGTTACATGATTCTTTGTAGGCCCTGTGAAAAGATAACAAAAAATATGGCCGAAGAAACAATCAAACTTCTGTATATCCATTTGCTGGATGTTGTCTGCCTTGACCTTCTTCAATCCATTTGCTTATAGCCTTTCAGTGAGGTGAAAGTAAAAATGATTAAGGTCATTTCCTCCTTAGTGAGAATGTAATATTTTTATAGCATTGCTTAATTATCATTGAGGTTTATGCAGCATATGATTCCTTTCATATATTGGCATACCAATGATTGAAGAATACTTATTAGTGAAAAAGCATGGAAAAGCTTCTTGTCTACCTAACTTTATTTTATTTGTCCATTAACTTTGTTAATACTTTATTAATGTCATCTGAAAACCGAATGACCAACTTCCCATGTCATCTTTATTTGTAAGAATGCTTCTGGGCCCCACTTAATCCTTCCATAATTAGACAATAAGAATAATTGCGAGCTGTGAAATTTCTTTAAAAATGTATGCATCTCCCTGGGAGAAAATATTAAAGTATGCTAAAGCAACAAGAACAGTAATATGGATGGGTAAACAGAGAGGCGATAAATGCATGTTTTACAATGGAACACACAAACATGACAGCCAAAGACATTGGCCTCCAAGGAGGACTAGGAGATAGATTTCTCGGGTTCCACATGGCAGAGTAACAGGAGAGGTATTCAAAAACAGCAGGGTGCTATAATCATGATATACATTGCAATGCAATGAGAAGAGGTCCATATGCCAGCTGAGATTTATCAAGCCAAACACATCCTCACTGACTAGGTAAGTATGCACATGCATACACACATACACACCTGCTGAAGGGTGGGGCTTGGGAACATAAATTTAATCTGACTATAAAGCTGGGAAGGAGCCAACAAAACAGCGTGGGGACCCAGGATATCATTTAGGTCAAGATGGCAGCTGGCAATATGTATGAATGATACTGGTGAAAAGAAGCCAGCAGGCAGCTGAGGTAACATTCCTTTAATCAATTTCCCAAAAGCTGTTAAGTTTGGAGAAAATCCATTGGACCTTGAAGGCCTCAGTGATGATAGGCTGAATTTAGAACTGACAAAGAATTGGGAATAGCAAAATTTGGATTTCTCTCCCCCCCCCCCCCCCCCCCCCCACAGAATGCTACTGAACAAAAAAAAAATGATTGGGAAATTATATTCCAGCAATCATCGCTTGAGTTCAAAAGGTGATATTCTCTCCATTCATTTGAATGTACTTGCCTTTGCTGGCAGCTGAATGAAACACAAATGCATAAGCATTAATGGGCCATTCATTTCACTCCACAGATGGGCTGACAAGTGAAAAAACTGCCTCTCACTTCCCTAAACAATATTCTACAGGGCAGAGAAGAACCAGAAAAGCAAGCCCAGGCAGGTGGGAATTTTCAATCTGAAACGTGATAAACTCGTCAGAGGTTGATTATGCAAATCAAAGAGAGCAGAAACAGAATGTTTTGGAGGAGTCAACCAAAGTCATAACCCTCATGTGCTGTCAATCTACAGTGTGAACTGCACATTCTGAAATCTTCAGGGCAAAGTAAACAATACAAACTGTAATCAAGAAGCAAACAGCAAGTTTAAGAGCCATAGAGAAACAACAATATTGCTTTCCCTCCACACATACGGGTGTGTTGGATTTCAACTTGCATTATTTCCTTCAACCTCTTCAGCACTTTCTAGGTCATAGGAATGATATGATGTCCTCCTGTGAGTATCTAATCAGCTCTTCTTGCCCTGAGAAGTGGTCTTGTGGATCAGTTGGTTGCTCAGATGAATATAATAATTGGATTCACACAACATGTACATTATCTGGTTGGTTGCTTAATGTTCTATCTTCGCACAATATATTGAAGCATTAACTAACCAAAAAAAAAAAACCTGCCAGTAAAACAAAAAGTGAATGCAGCCCAGTGGTGGGATCCTACCAGTTTAACAACCAGTTCACTGTGCGTGCGTTTCACTTGCTCTTTGCTGCGCTTCGCTTTGCTCTTGCTTTGCTGCGCACATGTGCGCAGTTTGCTGAAAATTGAATTCCTTGCTGAGAGCAAGAAAAACAGCTGAGGAGCGGCAATCCACTCCGCCGCCCCAATCAGCTGGAAGCAGAAATAAAGGTGAGTATAACACAGGGGCAGGCGGGTGGGCCCATTTCAAAGAAAGAGAGAACAGTTTCACTCACGATTGAAAGTCTGAGCTAACGGTAGAATCCCACCACTGATGCAGCCACATTATTATTGGTTGTTAATCATGTTGCAGGAACATTGCCAATGTATGATTGGCAGAGTGGCAATGACAAAATGAAATAAAGGAGTGACAGAGCTTTAGAAAACATTTTGAGGGCAAGAATAAGAATTTGGAAATGAGAGTCAAACCTAAAGCTTTCACTTTTGTTACTAAATTTTGTGTTACATAAGAATAGAAGAGCCTCCACTAAATCCACTAAATCCAGTGTCCTAAAACTTATAGGAGTCAGACAGACTGCTTAAAGATCACAAGCAAAACAAGAAAAGTAAGTGGGGCAGTGAAAAAATACAGAAATAGCTTGGAGGAAGGCTAGATCATCTAAGATAGGAGTGTCAAACTCAAGTCCCGGGGGCCGGATCCGGCCCATGGGATGCTTAGATCTGGCCCATGGGGCTACCCTGGAAGCAGTGAAGGACCTGCCCATAGTGCCTCTGCCAGGAAAAAATTGAGTTTGGGACGGCCGCCTGTGGTCCTCCCAAGCTCCACTTTCACTGGCAGAGGGTTGCAGGAGGCCGTTACAGCCAAAAATGGAACTTGGGAGCCCGTTTTCTCTGGCAGAGCACTCGGGCCACCAGAAGCACCCCCAACATGAATGATATCGAGCTGCCCATGCCCACCTTGGCCACACACACACCGCCCCCCCCCCCAAACACAGCCTTGATATGGCCCTCAATGAAATCAAGTTTGACACCCCTGATCTAAGATAAAGAATTTTCAGCTATGATACCCACTAAGGAGCCTCTGGATATCCTTTCTATTTTGAGAATCTATAGTCTCAATGCCAGAGTTCCCTTTGTGAATGGGCAATTCCTGACCCCCATTCCATGGCAGCCCGAGTGCCTGTAGCATATTTTCAACATTTCAAATGTACCTGCTGGTTAAAATTTGAGAAACCTAATGGCTAGGCCCATGCCTAACCAAAGTTCCTTAGAAGAGATTAAATGAAATTCAATGGCGGTCGATTACCTATTACTTATGTGTAACAATAATAATTTAACAATACACAGTGCTAAATTAACAATATAATAGAGCAGGGGTGGGCACCTATGGCCCTTTTATGACTAGTGAACTTCAACTCTGGAAGTCCACAAGTCATAAAAGGGCCATCGTTCCCCACTTCTGTAAAGGATGCTACATTCTTCATTTACCTCTGTGTTAAGGGTCTGTGTTTGTCTTCTGACCCTTTGGTACACTTCCCTGAGCAGATGTTCCCGCTCTGCATGCAAAGTTTCTCGGATATGCAATATACTGGCCTGTTTTTCTTCTTCAGCTGCACAGAGGGCAGCTAATTGTTGCTGGTAGTTCCACATTTCAATATCTATGCCTTCACTCAAAGGAGGGGGGCTGGGGGGAGCACAGACCTCAAGAATGGCAAATGTCTGATTGCGGTCTCTCTCCCGAGTCATCACTAACTGGTACAGCCAATAATGCTTGAGAAATGTGTTTGAAAAGTAATCATACACGGCAGACTTCTGGAAAGAGGAGAGCTGAACCGGAAAGGCAGTCAGTTTCTCTTGAAGGATTCTGATGGCTTGCAACAGGGAAAAACCTGAAAGAAAGAAAAGAAAAGAGCAATGATACATAGTATATGTTTGACAAATACAAATAAAAAAATAAACATACAAGTTTTGGAGTATCTTCCTGTTCTTCACTCAACATACAAAGGAAGAGATTTCCAAATGCTGAAAAGACAGTCCATGTGAATGGCTACCCTAACTCAATCTTATTCAGTGGTAGGATTCGAATAATTTAACAACCGGTTCTCTGCCCTAATGATTTCTTCCAACAACCAATTCACCAAACTGCTCAGAAAGTTAACAACCGGTTCTCTCAAAATGGTGCGAACTGGCTGAATCCCACACTGATCTTATTCATTTGTTTTCCAGGGAAATGTTAAGTCTTTTGGTTCCAAGTAAAATACCAGGAGTTTCTAAAAGTAAAAAGAGGGGAAGGTAGGAATAGAGACCCTATTTTGTCCAAAGCTTAAATGGAGCAAAATAAAAATGGGGCCTAGGATAGAGGCAATAGTCCTGTTTTTCTTTACTGCAACAGGTTTATTTGGGTCTCTCTCTTTCTTCCTCTCCCTCTCCCTCTCTCTCCCCTCTCTCTCCCTCTCCCTCCCTCCCCCCTTCATATAGAAGCAATAGCAGAGGGGAGATGCAAAAAGGAAGAACACATCCAACAATGAAGACAACCATTGCCCATCTGCCACACCCATTGGGGTATGTTGGGGACATTGTTTGTGACCAATGTTATCCACTGCTCAGGCCCAAACTTTCTTTGCCTACACTCCCAAAATTTAGTCCCATTGTCCTATTCACTGTATGAAAAGATATTTGACTATCCAATGAATCCTGAACCCTTTAAAACAATAAAAAGTAATGATGAGCTCTAGACAAAAATTGATTTAAATTCATATACTTTGTATATTTGAATAACCCAATAGCTTACCAAATTATTTCACTACATCCAAAAATAGAACACTGACCCTTATCAACATAACATGAAGTATTACGAGCATATAATAACAAATTGTGTTCCATTTCAGCCACCTGAACATCTAAAGCAATCTTCCAAAATGTAACAAAACAGATAGAGGTTTCAAAATAAATTGAATTCGGTATGAGAAGAGATAATAGACAGCCTTGACAATGACTGATGGATCAGAAAACCAGATTTTAATCCAAAACAAATTAGAAACCTAGCTTTATGGGAAAAAGATTTTGGTTAAACTGAGAGAAGTATCTAGCGATATTTGTAAGATAATTTTGCTAATGGACTCAATTCATAGGAAAAAAGGAATACATTTTTCCTTGCAGCAGGTTTTACAGAATAATAGAGTTGGAAGGGATCTTGCAAGTCTTCTAGTCCAAACCCCTGTTCAAGCAGGAGACCCATTCCAGACAAGATAGATACCAGGGAAATATTCTAACTGTAGAAAATATTCTTGTTTGGATTTGACAGAGGAGTGGACCAGAATTTTGAACTGATTACTTCTAGTATCTAAGTGGATAAAGATTGATTGATTTGTATTTGTATTTGTTTGTTTGTTTATGGGCAATCTATATGGCTTCCCATCTTGAACAAGCAACTGGGCAATTGGGCAAAGAACACTATATATAAAACATCTTATAAGAAATTAATTCTAAACAGTGCAAAATACAACTAAGAATAGTCATCAAACTAAAACTCCAAGGTTCCTCAAAGCATTTCAGATATTAACAGGCAAATCAAACTCAAATTTCCACTTGGGAAAAGAGCCAGATTTTCATAACCTTCTAGAAGGCTAGTATGGCCAATTAGAGGACAAGGCAGTTCCAAAGAGCAGACCTCATTATAGAAAAGATATATCTCCTAGGATCTGCATAATGTTGTCATTCCAGAGAGGTAGGTACTTGAAGGATTCCCATCCTTCTGGACTCAGTAGAATGGGATTGGATATCCCTCCCTCCCTCCCTCCCTCAGTAGAAAGCATTGGATATCCCTCCCTGTCCTTTATTCCCTCACCCTGGACCCATGCCTTCCTTACCCCAGTCAAAGAGCCCCATACCAACTGCACTAATACCTTGTTTCCCCAAAAATAAGACATCCCCTGATAATAAGCCCAATTGGGCTTTTGAGCGTATGCACTAAAATAAGCCTTCCCCCAAAATAAGCCCTCCCAAAAAATATTTAAACGCAGAGCTGGAAATCAGGTAAGACAGCAATAGGAGCCCTGTCCTGCTCCACGTGCCCCAAAATAATAAGACCTCCCCGAAAATAAGGCCAAGTACTTATTTTGGGGCTCAAAAAATATAAGACAGGGTCTTATTTTCGGGGAAACACGGTAGAGCCCATTAACAGGTGGGATACACCTGGTGCACGCCACATACACATAAACAATCTGGAAGCTTTTTCATAGCATTCTGCGCCCATACGCTTGGGATACCTGCCAACTTCTTACTTCACACTCAAACATCCTCCCACACACACCATACCCAGGTGCTGAATGCTATGCTTAAAAATTAAGTAAAGGTCACAGATTAACCACTCCTATATTAGAGAAAGATTTTTTTCTCCCTCTTTCAACTATCCTGAAACAATTTTGAGCTGCAGGTGTGCCTGATTGAACTTTGTACATGTAAAGTTATGGACACAAGCTTTCTACACTATGCATTGTGATATCCTGAGATGTACTTCAACATTGCTTGTGACAGGAAATGTAAGCCAAGCCTGGAAAGGAGCCCCTGAATCAGATATCATTGGATTAGTGTACAGCAGGGTTAGGGTTAGTATACAGAGAAAAAATAAGTGGTAAAATGAAGCACCACTTTATCTGCATGTATAAGATATTGCCTTGAATGTTTCAGAGAAAATGTATTGCAAACTGAAAGCTAGAAAATGAAGGAGAAAGATTCTAACACCTATGTTTCTTGTGCTGCTTTCCTATTTATAAAGAAGATTTAAATTGGGAAGAATTCAACATTTGGAACATCTTTATCTAGAGTGTACATTTGTATATTCTGTTTCTTATTCCATTCATTCACATCTATTAACAGGTACATGTCACAGCTCTCTGGAATAAAGTCAGTTCTTTTGAGCTACAACATCAGATACCTTCTGAAATAGCACAAGGCCTACATTCAAGACACAAACTGTCAGACAAGTTTTGGGCACTGCAGCAGTGCCTAATTAAACAGGAGAGCACTCTTTCCTATTTACCTTGCATTTCCCTCATTCTAGTTTGGTTGCTTACTGCTTCAGGGAGCTGTCCATGCCACAGCAGCTGGTAGCTTTGCCCTGCTCTTCCCTGTCCAGGGGGAAAAAATGGCTCAGTGGCTAAGACACTGAGCTTGTCGATCAGAAAGGTCCGCAGTTCGGAGATTCGAATCCCCAGTATAGGTCTCCTGTGTGAGCAGCGGGTTGGACTAGATGACCTCCAAGGTACCTTCCAACTCTGTTACTGTTAGCTTGGACCCCAAGGGAAAGGGCCTGAATTGCAACAGTTCAACTGACCAATAGATGTCCTAACTGAACAGATACCAGTATGGTCACTCGTTTGGTTTGGTTTGTTATTTGTATGTCCATCTTAATCATTAAAAAGTCAATTGTTTCCTTTGTATATCCTGTGTAGCATCTTTTTCCATATCATTCTTGTAGTCTGTCATTTTTTAATCCACTTCCAAATCAGTCTTGACTAGTAAAACTTGCTCCTCTTCCATATAATCTTTTATACATAGGCTAGCTATAATAGATTTTCTTCCTGGCAATCTATCCCTAATTTATTATTTCAAATCTCCCAATGGAGCACTTACCATCACTGTAACTGAGTCCATCCACTTTGTTCCTGTCTGTCCTCTTTTTTCCTTTCACCTTTTCCAGCATTAGTGTCTTTTTCCAAGGGCTGTACCTTCACATAATGTGTCTGAAGTAGGATAATTTGAGCCTAGATATTTATACCTCTGAGTTGACTTGTTCAATGATCCCTGGGTTTGTTTTCTTGGCTGTCCATCATATTCTCAGGAGTCATTTCCAACATCAAAGTTTAAAGGTGTCAATATTTTTCCTACACTTTCTTTAAAGTCCAGGTACCAGAATTAAGGTAATATTTTTTCCCTATTATTCTTATACTGTCCAAGGGTAGCTTCAAAAGGTGTGGAAAATCTGTTTCGCTTTGTTACCTATTACTTTGAATGAAATCAGATGACTAGAGTGACTGGAAAAGAAACAGCAAATTTCACAAAGGCAGTGATGAACGGAGAGCATTTCAACTCAGCTCTGGGGAAAGGTCTGCAGTCAAAATCACGCAGAAAACCGACCTACTTTCTCACTGTCCATTTTGTTACATGAAATCTTCAAGACACCCTTCTTCCTGCTTTCCTTGGTTTCAATAGAACAAGACTTTTTCGGGTAAGCTCCTGTATGAGGAATTCTCTTGCAGGGACAAAAGCAGGGGTGAAATCCAGCAGGTTCTGACAGGTTCTGGAGAACCAGTAGCGGAAATTTTGAGCACTTTGGAGAACCGGTAACGAAAATTTTGAGTAGTTCGGAGAACCAGCAAATACCACCTCTGGCTGGGCCCAGAGTGGGGTGGGAATGGAGATTTTGCAGTATCCTTCCCTGCCACGCCCATCAAGCCATGCCCCCCCAAGCCACGCCCACAGAACCGGTAATAAAAAAAATTGGATTTCACCACTGGACAAAAGGATTGGCTGACAGAACTGCTTTCTATGTGCTGGGCTACCATTTTACATATAATTTTCCTTTCTGATCAACCCCCTCACAATTTTCCTCAAACGAAGACTTTCCAGATGTTTAGGACTTGGGCTGTTGGGAGTCGAAATCATCCAGAGGACAGAGGTAAAGGGAAAAATATTTTATCCTACACGGCTCTCTGCTTATCTTTCAATTTGTAGATAAGTTTTCACTCAAACAAAAAAGGATGGCACTATTGTAGTTCAAAATGATTACTGCCTTTTTTCCACCTCAGGATTCTATCACCTCATTGCCTCCTTGTGTAGATATAGATCCTCAGCTTTCAGTATGTCAAAAGGCAGGTAAGAGCAGTGC